AATTATGATTTTTAAACTTTTTTTTTACATTTTTTAAATATTTTTATTTATTTTTTTTTACATACTGTTACCATGGTGATACTGTACTGCTTGTGGAGGGTGATGAAGATTTTTTTTTTTTTTTTTACACACTGATTGCTTTTACACCCATAAAGGCTGTAAAATTAATCATATCTCCTTCTCTCTAGCTGCAATCTTGCAGCCATTGAGAACTACTGAGTGAGCTGTGATTGGTCACAGCTTGTCACATGGTACAAGGCTGTTGTGAATAGCCTTGTACCATGTGACCTCTGTGATCATTCACAGATTTCACACGTAGTAAGCAATGATGTCACAAGTGACATGTTGCTTACTACTCTGCATGTGATCACTGATTGGCCAATCAGTGATCACATGATCGGGACCTCGTACAGAGGTCCCGTCCGACGATCGGTGTTCCACTGTGTCTGGAGGACACAGCGGGCACCGGATCGCGCGGCTGCTGCGCGCTCCCAGGGAGCAGGCACAAGCAGGAAAATAAAATCAATAGGGGGGGGAGCAGGCAACAAAGTGCGGGGAGGCCATTTATAAACAGCCACCCGACCCTGCACTGCCACCGTCCGGTCCGGTCCGTTTATATACAACGGCCGGACGGGAGGTGGTTAATACAGCACAGGACACAGACAAAATATTCCTACACAATGGGTTACAGGCGTGTAACTTACCATGATTGGACACTGGCAAAGCTTTAGAGGACATGCCCCCTGGTTGTCTCAGTTTTTTGCCAGTGTCTGAAGGTGATGGTCCTCTTCTCCTTTGTGGAGAAAATTACCTTCGCTCAAAGTAGAACTAAAAATAAAACTTTTGTTTTCATTTTGGATAGAGTAAGGAAGGGTTATAATCCCTGTCAGTTTTTTTGCTATTTGTATCCCACTAGTGAGATTTCCCATCATTTCCTGCCCCATAGCCAAAACAAGAAGTGAGAAAAAAATCCTCCAAAGTAAGTGAAATCCTGGTTGTCACCAGGATCACCAGAACTAGTGTCCCTATTGGAAATTTTCCCTTATATTTCTTTTTCTGATGATGAAAACTCAAAATTTGGGATTTTCTTTCAGTGATAACGGTAAACAGGAGAAATAGAGATGGTGATTCTCCCCAGGGGTGTGGAAATTTTTTAAAAACTACTTGTCCAAGGACTAAATCAGTGTCCCAATCTACTTGTCCCTCATGATAATCTACTTGTCCTGATAATTTTTTTTTTTTCTTTTAACCAAAACCATATTTAAATCTGCTTTAAGTAATGTCTGGGGCTTTTAAAAATAAAAGGGGCTCTATGACAACTTAAACGTTTATTGTTTTTAACATTGTGTTGTTTATCTCCCCTCCTCTGCCTGCCTGTCTATCCTTTATCCCTTTCGCTGCCAGAGCTGTTTTTGCATATTTTGCACACGTTTAAAAAATCATTTAAGGCCTGAAAGATTACACAAATCTCCAAAACATTATATATTTTCTGAAATCAGAGACCCTAGAGAATAAAATAGCGGTAGTTTAAATTTTTTTATGTCACGCAATATTATCACAAAGGTATAGGAAAATGCAAAATTTCAGTAAAAAATACACTTGAGTTAATTTTAGGGCACAAAAAGCAATAAATTATCCAATTTAAAAAAAAATATATAAAAGATAAGGTTGTATCGAGTAAATGGATATCCAACATGTCAAACCTTAAATTTGCGTGCGCTCGTGAAATGGCAACAAAGTTTAGTACCCTATATTTTCTATAGGTGACGGTTTTAAAGCCCCTTATAGGTCATCAGTTTAGCGTTACAGAGGAAGTCTGGTGCTAGAATTATTGCTCTTATTCTGGAGTGTGCGGCGATATGCAATGTGTACCGCAATTGTCATATTCATGCGTAGGCGCCTCAGCACGTGCTTTTATGTTTGTACATATGTGGGGGTGGGGGGCCTTGAAAAATTTTTGGGGGGTTATATGCTTGGATGTAACTTTAATTTTTAAAAAAATGAAAAAAAAATTTTTTTTGCTTAACTTATTTTTTTTTGATCGCATAGGGTACAAAAAATCCCCTACGTGATGATTTTGTGGTGACAGGTTCTCTGTTCTGAGACATCCAGGATCTAAAAGACCCTGGATGTCTCCCTGTACTCCACGGAATGTAATGCCTTGATTGCCAGGAATCTTTCAACAGGGACCCAGAAGTGCCGTCACATCAATTCCAGGTCAGCACAAGGAGGGGAGTGGATGTGTGCGCTCTCCTCCCTCCCCTATACCCGCCGGCACCCACTGTAAAGGTCCGGGCCCGCAGATGGGTAAGCAGAGCCTAGGACATATAGCAGGCAGGGGGGCGGAGGCTGGCACTGGGCTGTGTGAAAGCAATCGGGCGGCAGCGCTGCCACCAGAATGCTTCCACCTGACAGGTGAGCTCTGCTTCTTGCTCGCAGCAGGGCTAAAGGTAAAAAAACTACCTGGGGGGCGCCTGGAACTACATGTCCCGGGCGTCGGGTGATATGAATTGAAGATCCCTGCTCCCTAATTAGGACACAAACTCCTCTTCACTCTATCCAAAACTAAAAAAAATAGTTTTGCCATCAGTTATACTTTAACTAGTTTATTGCTTTTCCTTAAAGCGATTCTAAAGGTTCATTTTTTGGGGGGCAAGATAACAAACATGCTATACTTACCTATTGTGTGCAGTGGTTTTGCACAGAGCAGCCTGGATCCTCCTCTTCTTGTGTCCTCCACAGGCTCTTCTGGCCCCTCCCTCCTGTCAAATGCTCCCAAAGCATGCAGTTTGCTATGGGGGCACCCACTGCTTCGTGTGTCCACTCACATACGGAGTCGCGGCTTGGCACCACCCTTTCTCCTGTTTGGCTGACTGGCAGTGATTGACAGCAGCGGGAGTCAATGGCTCCCACTTGCTATCTCAGCCACTGAGGAGGCAGAGACCCGGGACAGCCAAGGCTGTTGTTCACATCGCTGGATCGCGATGAGGCTCAGGTAAGTATTGAGGGGACTGGGGGAGCTGCTGGACACACAAGGTTTTTTACCTTCTTGCATAGAATGCATGAAGGAGTCCATAACAAGCAAAACACAGGAAAGAATTTCAAAATTCTTGGCCACTGGTATAGATGCTCGGCTAGCCTCCGTATCTTCTATACCTCTGTCCTAGGTGGCTGTTGAAGGTGTCATTCCCCCATCAGTAACATGACCCACATTTGATGGGAATATACCCCCATCAAAGCAATCTTTGGCTTGTATATGAAAAGTTTATTCTAGAGCACAGGTCTCCAAACTTTTTAAACAAAGGGCCAGTTTGCTGTCCTTCAGATTTTTGGGGGGCCGGACCATGACCAGTGGGAGTAGAAGATGCCCTTGCATCAGAGAGAGTAAACAGTGAACTATCTTTAGTATTGGATGGAGGAGTATTTGGTGTCAGTGGGAGGAATAGTGTGCCATCTTTGCTGTCCGTGGGAGGAATAGTGTCCCATCATTGCTGTCAATGGGAGGAATAGTGCCCCATCCTTGGTGCTAGTGGCAGGAATTATGCACAATTGTAGTTGTTAGAGGGAAGAATAGTGCCCCAAAAGGCCAGAAAAAGGCAAGCAAAGGACTGCATCCGGCCCCAGGGCCACAGTTTGGAGACCACTGTTCTATAGTGACAAGTCCTAAGATACCAAATAACCCGATAACCATCCTCCTCTCCATTATTGCTGCCTAAATGTATTAAAGCCGACATACTGTGTTACTTCCTCACTGCATCATAAGCTATTATTGCTAGATATCGGCAATCACCACAGGTACAGGGTTGTAAAAATTCCATCATGCACCTCGAACACCTGATTGTGGCAGAATATAATAAAATGGACAAAAATACCTTTATTTGGGGCTTGGATCATCATTCTCAATAATCTTGAGAGTTATTATCCAACTAATGTCACTCTTTTCTTCAATTCAGCTGAATCAAGGGTGGGGAGAGGATACTACTCTGTCCCTCATCCTTGTTCCCCTACTGCCCATTTTTTTTCGTTTTTCCTGTATTCTCTTGTTCACCTCTTTTACCATTTACTGGTGCCAACCTTCCCACATTCTTTACTAACGATTATATAACCAGTATCAAAATAATCTATCGTTTTCCTTTATCTAATCTCAACTACGGTATGTACTTAACAGCAATATTGCATTTGTATTTCTTTAGTCCTCATGCACACTGGATGTTTTTACAGCTGCAGTTTTTGGCTTTTGACATTTTGCTCTACAGCCAGTAAACCCCCCAGCATGTTATCCTATGTGTCCATGCACACATAGACTGTAATCAATGTTTTTTGGCAGAAAAAAAACCCAGGACTAGTGGGTTTCTATAGCAGTTTTTTAGCTGTAAAAACGCTCTAACACTGAGCAATGCTGAAAAACACGGCAAAACGCAGTAAAACGCCGCAAAGTGAAGCGGCATTTTAGGACTTTTTTTTTTACCAAACTAAAATTAGCTTTTTGGTAAAACGCAAACGTGGGAAAACGGTAATGCAAAACCGCAAAAAAATGGCTGAAAAACTCATGTTTTTAACGTGACTTTACACAGCTAACGTTACCAGCGTTATCAAAACGCCCCGTGTGCATGGAGCCTTAGAGTCTGATCATTCTCTGCATTCATTTTGGCATCTGGCAATAGTGACAGGAGGGGGGGGGGGTAGCAGGGGGAGAGTAGCTGGGTGTTTTTAGGACTTATCTCATAGAGTGGTTAATGTGTTACTAAAGCCAGGACCCTGCATTCACGATAGCCAGTATCCCACAGTACACAGAACATGGAAGTGCAATTATTTTAGTAAATATAAACTGCTAAATACCTTTTGTCCTCAGCAGTTAGAGCGGTCTTGTGACTTCTTTCAGTGTCCACAGAGCACATTTTAAAGCTTGTTGGAGGAGTTTTTATTCTGCTCTAGGAGTGTGCAGGGCCCCTGACCTCTGTCTGGACAGTGCTGCTTGGCCCTTTGCTGATCACATGCACCCTCCCAAGAAAAAAAAACCTCTCTAGCAATACACACCAAACTAAGCATGTGCAGAGTGACTCCACGCAATATGTCTTCTCATGAGATAAGAGGGGGGCACTGGACGTAGGGGAGGATCAGAGAAGTCAGGATAAAACTGCATTTTTACACAGTGCAGAGGATTAACCCCTTGGGTTCTACAGTGAGTATAAAAAGCATGCTTTACTGCATATACAGACTGATTATACTGTTGTGGGTTTAGTAACACTTTAAAGCCTGTTTTGGGAAAACTTGGTTGTTCCATACCTGATGGAAATTGAGTGAACGAACGATGAGGCTTCCCTTGCACCTTCAGTCTAAACACTCCTGGACCTGGTCACAAGTAGTGTAAGGGCTGTGGCTTGGCATGAGTGGTGGATGAAGACTCAGGAATTGCTGGATTTATGTTAATGCACTGGAATCTGGAGTCTTTTTACTTCCCTATCGCTCCTTTACAGCTTTATCACACACTTCAGTTGTGTTGGATGCCTGGACTACCAACATGGGCTATGATTCCTCCTCCTGATGCCTACATCAAAAAAGGACACAGTAGTGATGTAGGTATCAGCAGAGTAACCACAACATTCAGTGGGGACATAGGAAGTGTTGTATGTATAGACTTCTCTATTCAAGGGCAATGGTCACCAGAATAAACACTGGAGGAAAGGATGGCAACAGATTTGTTTTAAAGTATACGAAAAGGTAAAAACTTTTTTTTTTTTTCAGATTTAAAAAATAATGGCAAATTAAATAGAGGGTAAATCCAACATATTGAGTTGCCACCAAACAGGAATAAAGTAAAGCTTTTACGATGGAGACACTTCTCGTAGCAACTGTTTAAGAAAGGATTTCTCTCACATTGGCAAGATATGCTATCACTTTTTGTTGGTCCCAGAGGGCAGTAGGTTAATGGAAATCTCCCCAGTGGGACACAGATGGCATATAATATGGTTAGATGCAAAATTGCATGAAAAACGGATTTTATGCGCATGTTTTTCAGGCTTTCCTATTGAAGTCAAGTGGGACTTGAAGAAGCTTCAGTGCTTATTTGAGCGTTGAGTGACAACACATTGCTGAGATGCGAAGAGGCACAGTAGAATAACATGGAGTGTTGGCCATTTGAAACTCTTTTGCAAAAGCGCTTTAAATTGCTCTTTTGTGAATAGGGTCTAAGTGCAGAGACATGTGCCATGAAATGTGTATAGGTTTACGTCCTCTCAAAATTCAGGCACAGGTTTCCAGTCAGCAGAGTTAAGTCTCACTGAAGCAGTGAATGGATCAGGGGAGAGTGATAGAAGCAGGGACTTGCACACAAAATATGGTGACCATTGTTAGTATTGCGTTTTTGACCACTGCTTTGTAAACTTTCTGCTTGTGGTGAATGGCCTTCTCCTGTGTAATAATAGTGTTGTTACAGTCTGGCTTACGAATTGGCCAGACAAAAAGGGTGACTGATACACTAGGCTGTGTTATTCATATCCTACACAGCAGAATTACATTGAACCAAGTCTGGACTGCACAGTTCACTCTGCCAGCCACTGTTAAGCCAAGAAGGTGGTAGAGGTACAATCCCTATAAGTGAATCACATCCCCTGTATAATGGGCAGCCGAGGTTCAGGGTGCCGTGACAGGAGTGACGTCATTTCTCCGACTTGTGTGTCTGAGTATTTCCTGGTGTCAGTGACTCCCGACTTGTCTTTCAGCTGGAGAATCATTGTTTATTTTTAACCATCCTTGAGAAATAGATCTTTAAGCCGGCTGCTCTGTGAGGGCTTATTATCCTATCTGGAATGCAAACGGTCACTGAATATATTCACACCTTTGCTGTGCATTAACACAAAGTGCAGTTGATAAGCGTTACTTTGCACAATAATGTGTGTTGTGTTAGGGCAGCCCATTTATTTCAGTGCACTAAAATGCAACAAAACAAGGTGTTTGTACAGCGTGTTGTGGTTTGCTAAAAGGGTGCATGTGTCATGTGTTGGGAAGGGGCAGTATGGTTGTTTTTTTTTTTTTTTTTCAAATCCGTGCGAAAAAACGAAAAACCCGTAAGTGTACAAAAAACGTGCTAGTGCAAAACCAACACAAAAAAGTGCACTTAGGGGTGTGCTTTGTCCACCCCCGAAGGGGTAGGATCTCTACCCTGATCCCCCGGGGCACGAAGCTCCTGACAGGGACAAAGTTCCCATGTGGTCCACCTAGCCAAAAGGCCTGGCGGACCCCATTCCTTGTGGCCAGCCTAAGCCAGCCACCAAGTACTTGGTAAGGGGGCTCTCCCAAAGAGAAAACCCCCTAGGGACAGGGGAGGAAGGAACCAAAAGAGGCCACACATCCTCCCCCTAGACTTCAGGGTAGGCCCGAGGACCCATACCCTACAATCCGTGAGAAAAAAAAAACACACACATAAGTGAAAAGTGACAAACGTGGGAGGAAAAATAAATTAAATAATTAAATAGATAAAAATAAAAAAGTGACCGTGCAATTGTGCACTGGCTAGGCCCTGAGGCCCGTAGCAAAAAAATTGCCCTGGACTTAGCCAAAAGGCCTAGCCCTAAAAGGCGCAGTGCAGAAAAAGTGTTTGAAACAGTGACCATGTGCACGTTTCACACGTTGGGGTCTCACACCCAAGTGTTACTAAGAGCACCCCTGAGGCGAACACTCTCAGGGGGCACTGGTTCGTGGACTTTCTGCCTCCCCGGCCCCTGGCCAGACAAGGTAGATCCATTCAAACCAGGAGGAACTGGGCCCCTCCGGTTTTTCAGAGGGAATTACTCCCGGGCCCCAGCAGCCTGTGGGCGCCTCGGTTTCTGTTCCAGCCTGTACTAACCATCAGGACCCCCATCCTACCAGCAAGGGTAGTATACAACCAATCATCCCCGCATAGCAGGAATGATGGTGAAGCACCCCTACTGGACATTGATAAGAACAGATACTACACTTGATCTTACCCAAAAGGCCGAGAAGCGACAGTATGGTTGTTACTAAGAATGAATTGCACCTCTGCACTACAACTGACAACACGGAGCACATAAGTGTCTATTGAGCTTCTAGGCCATATTCGTGAAAACTGGGGCAAACGTGGAGCTCTTACCTGCAGCGATGACACACCTCTTTCGGGCTTACCAGGAAATATGAGATATGACTGCTGTGGATAAAGTGCCACGCTTGCTCAGATTTTCCTAAATCAGTGTCTCGAGAGGGTTTGTGAAGATTTTATCAAAGGAAATGAGCCAGTGATGTACAGTCAGGTCCATAAATATTGGGACATGGACACAATTCTAACATTTTTGGCTCTATACACCACCACAATGGATTTGAAATGAAACAAACAAGATGTGCTTCAACTGCAGACTGTCAGCTTTAATTTGAGGGTATTTACATCCAAATCAGGTGAACGATGTAGGAATTACAACAGTTTGCATATGTGCCTCCCACTTGTTAAGGGACCAAAAGTAATGGGACAGAATAATAATCATAAATCAAACTTTCACTTTTTAATTCTTGGTTGCAAATCCTTTGCAGTCAATGACAGCCTGAAGTCTGGAACGCATAGACATCACCAGACGCTGGGTTTCATCCCTGGTGATGCTCTGCCAGGCCTCTACTGCAACTGTCTTCAGTTCCTGCTTGTTCTTGGGGCATTTTCCCTTCAGTTTTGTCTTCAGCAAGTGAAAATGCTCAATCGGATTCAGGTCAGGTGATTGACTTGGCCATTGCAGAACATTCCACTTCTTTGGTTGCTTTTGCAGTCTGCTTTGGGTCATTGTCCATCTGCACTGTGAAGCGTCCAATGAGTTGTGAAGCATTTGGCTGAATATGAGCAGATAATATTCCCGACAAAACACTTCACAATTCATCCGGCTGCTTCTGTCAGCAGTCACATCATCAATAAATACAAGAGAAGCAATTCCATTGGCAGCCATACATGCCCACGCCATGACACTACCACCACCATGCTTCACTGATGAGGTGGTATGCGACGGATCATAAGCAGTTCCTTCTCCATACTCTTCTCTTCCCATCACTCTGGTACAAGTTGATCTTGGTCTCATCTGTCCATAGGATGTTGTTCCAGAACTGTGAAGGCTTTTTTACATGTCGTTTGGCAAACTCTAATCTGGCCTTCCTGTTTTTGAGGCTCACCAATGGTTTCCATCTTGTTGTGAACCCTCTGTATTCACTCTGGTGAAGTCTTCTCTTGATTGGTGACTTTGACACACATACACCTACCTCCTGGAGAGTGTTTTCTTGATCTGGCCAACTGTTGTGAAGGGTGTTTTCTTCACCAGGGAAAGAATTCTTTGGTCATCCACCACAGTTGTTTTCCGTGGTCTTCCGGGTCTTTTGGTGTTGCTGAGCTCACCGGTGCGTTCCTTCTTTTTAAGAATGTTCCAAACAGTTGTTTTGGCCACGCCTAATGTTTTTGCTATCTCTCTGATGGGTTTGTTTTGTTTTTTTTCAGCCTAATGATGGCTTGCTTCACTGATAGTGACAGCTCTTTGGATCTCATCTTGAGAGTTGACAGCAACAGATTCCAAATGCAAATAGCACACTTGAAATACTCTGGACCTTATATCTGCTCACTGTAATTGGGATAATGAGGGAATAACACACAACTGGCCATGGAACAGCTGAGAAGCCAATTGTCCCATTACTTTTTTGGTCCCTTAACAAGTGGGAGGCACATATGCAAACTGTTTTAAATCCTACACTGGTCACCTGATTTGGATGTAAATACCCTCAAATTAAAGCTGACAGTCTGCAGTTAAAGCACATCTTGTTTGTTTCATTTCAAATCCATTGTGGTGGTGTATACAGCCAAAAAAAATGTTAGAATTGTGTCCATGTCCCAATATTTATGGACCTGACTGTATGTTGATTTGTATGCAAAGTGTTTTGAATCAGTGTTCTCCCTGTTTGATTTATTGCATATTTATTAAGCTTTTAAATTTTTAACCAAAATATCCTTTTAAGTTGAACTCACTCCAAATTTGGAAGCTACAACACTGTACAACAATACTAAAAAGGAAAACAAAGGCCAAGGTTGGCCATGCATTAAGTCAATTTTTGTTTCCTTCAACCATGGGTTGAAGGAAAGAAAATTGCTATATTTCCCCATCAACACTTTCAGTGTTAATGGAGGAATCCCACCCACTGCAGTATTGTATTCTGCCATCAGAATACAATAATTACTGCTGCCAGCTATAGCCAGGAGCAGTAAAT